AAAAAAATCCTCAGAATTCCTGCCAGCAAGGTATATTTTGAAAAATATAAGGGGTCTTTTCAATTAACGAAACCAAAGCTGAGATTTCAAAACCAGTCTAGAAGTCTAAAGTCTGACTCCAAAGCTTGTCTTCAGGAGTCTAGGGGTATAACTCTGGAATGCAAAAGTATTGGATACAACACTGCTCGGACAACGCTCATGAAACATTTCATAGAAGAGCTTTCACAGAGCTGTGGAAGCACAGCTGGGAAGGTGAAAAGCCTCGGAATGAACAGCTAGGGGTAGTTGGGAACAACTCCTTATGTTGGCTGGCAGTGCTGTCAGACTGCTCCGATCACAGAACTAGATCAATTTACACAGCACGCGTTTCAGCAGAGGAACTATTAGCAGTAGTCAAAAGGAAAAAAATAAAGCAGAAAACATGCTATTTAAAAAATTAAATCAACATATTTACATCACTTTATATCACAGAACCTCCATCAGTTACAGAACCTAATTAAGTGACAAGTTGCATTAGATGGATCACTTACTACAGTCATCACACGCTCGTCTGGAGGGAAGGTTTGAAAAGAGCGACATGCTCGTAAATCTACAGGATCTCGCAGGTAAAAAGCCTGGACCGCTGCAGCCACCAACGAAGGGCGCTGCCTCAGCACTGCCACAATGCCTGCCGGAAGGTAGCAGTGGGCTCGGTGAAACGAGGCCTGAATTTTCTCAGGATACCTGTGTCACAGAATAGCAACATAGCGTATTAAGTGTACTGCAAGCCCAAAACACTCCTTTTTAATTATTATTCCTGTTTTCACTTTAAAATTCATCTACATTACGGGCCAAGTGCCAGAAGATTATTCTAAACTGAAGTTAAAACTCAGCTCATCTAACACCTGGAATGTCTGTTTATATATATACATATGTAAAAATACACATGGCTAATAAAAATTGAATCCCCGCATCGGTAAGGTGAATCGCCATGAACTTGACAAACATGTCCAGCTATGCGGTATCCTTCACCGCACTGAGCGTAGAAGCCATCTGGCTTGCACAGTCAAATCCTTGCAAAAAATAATGGAAAGTGCTGAACACACCCGGTACAAGCTGACGCTCTGAAAAACTTGCTGTTCTACATTTTAGTTCGCAATCCTCTTTCTCCCCCGGCATGGGGCTCCTAAGGGCTCACAGGACTTTCAGATTTTTCAGTACAAAAAGGAGGTGAAGGAAGAATAACTCTTGTCACTGTCAGGTGTGGCATCATAGCAGTGACAGAGCCCTCAGATTGCAGTGCAGCCTACAGGACATTGGTCCCCCTCTTTAGAAGAACGCCACAGAAAAAACTCGAGCTGCTGGTTTCTGAAAAGGAAGCAACTTTATCACATCTAATGGGAAAATGACTGACTACGAGGAAGTACCCCAGGCAGCCCAGAATCAAAACTGACTTGTTGCAGAAGACCAAAATCAAACACCCACATACCCACTGATGCGTTTATACACTGCTGTTCTAATGGGTTCTGCGGCCAGGAACTCCTCCGAACGGCTGGATAACAGAGCTAACGCCTGCGAGATT